GTTAATGAAGGTGTTACCGATATAGCAGGTACAATACTTGAATCACTTAAAGGACAATTTGAAACACATCGTAAAGTTGATAGTACAACATCACCATTAGATATAAATAAATTAAATCTATTTCAACAATCATCAGCTATACAAACATCACCAACAAATACGAGATTACCCAATTCACTTGAAATACATTATGATGCTGAATCACCTAAAAGTCCATATTTAGTTATTAAAGCTGCGAATTCATTTTGGATGGTACAACCCATACAAAATTCTGATGTTGAAGAACATTTAAAAAAATTTTCATCACCCGTTATGAAACGTGCTACAATAAAATTACCTGATAGTTTCGATATTGATAGTGATTCTGATGATAATGCAAAAAATCCTAGTAATCATAATTCAATATCGGAAGAAGATGAAAATTTAACAATTGATCCCTATGAACAATTATCTGAAATGAAAACAATACGTTCATCATCATTATTTCAAAATGATGATCAATTTGAAAAATTTGATATTAAACTAGATGAAATTTATTTAATTATTGATCAATTAAAACATGAACCATTAACATCAATAATATCAAATAATTTACAAAAAAAAATTCATGATTTAAAATTTATTATACATAATATAAATTTAAATAAACAAGATGAATTACGTATTGAATATGAATTAGATGAATTAGATAATTTATTAAATCAAAAATCATCATCATCGAAACATAATAATGATTATAATTTAATTGAATTATTTGAACAAAATCTTAATGAATTGCAACATCTTATTGAACAAATGAAATCATCGGATTTACAATCACAAAAAAATTTAGTAACAGATTTTGAAGATAAATTTGAATCGATACAAAATATTGAAGAAGAAAAACATCGATTTATATCTAAACATCCACGTCTTATACCAGAAAATCCTGTTATAACAAGTGATGTCTTTTTTGAAGGTGATAAAATAATTAAAACTAAAAAATCAACACCTATTCCACGTCTTATACCAGAAGATGCACGAATAAGTGCAGCAAGTTTTTATGAAGGTGATCTAACACGTTCATTATACCATCATGTTGAACCAGAAAAAGATCCTGAAAATGTTTCAAAACAAAAACAATGTTTTATACCTGAAAGTCCACTTGTTTCACGTGATAATTTTTATGAAGGTGATGCACAACGTTCAATGTTTAGTAAACGTTCTAATCAAACAGAAACAGTATCATCAACATCATCACCACCAATATCAATTGATAATCTGCGAGGAATAATGAGTGATTTAATGCTTGCTGCATCATGGTCAAAGCGACCTTCAAGAGTTGAAAAACAAGCAACAAAAGATGAAGAAGAAATAGTTGCTGAATCATTTATTACAACAGAACGAAACAATTCAAAATCATCATCATGTGAAATTATCCATGAAATTGAAAACTTACCATATACACATCCATCAATTATAGTTGAAGAACAAATTAATAAACCACTTTATCCAACTATAATTGAAGAAGATGAATTAAGTATAGAAAAATCTCTTGAAGAAGAAAAACCATCATCAAATGAAGATGTATCGAGACAAGTATCAGGTGAAATGACAACGATTGTTGTATCTCCTCCATCATTTGAACAAGATGAAGATGAAGAAGAACAAGAACAAGAACAAGAACAAGAAAATCAATCAATAACAGATAAAAATGATTCGGATCGAATAAATTATGAAAATTGTCTTGTTCAAACATCAAATGATGTTGTTGATAAAGTATTAAATGCAGCTATTTCCGAAACAATCGAACAAGAAAAAGATGAATTATATTATCAAACAGCTATGGAACTTGTTCAAAATGCGATTAGAAATGCACTTGAACGATATAATAGTGAATCAGATTTAAATAAATCATTATCATCATCATCATCATCATCATTGAATGAAGACGAAGAAGAAGAAGAAGAAAATCATCTTCAAGAATATTTATCATCGGATGATGATGAAGAAAATGAAAAATTAATTCCACAAATAAATGATCAACCATATTTATTTGTCAATGATGTTGTGACATCAAAATCGACACAAGAACTTGGTGATCTTGTTCAAGAATTACAAATACTTGAACATAAAATTCATAAGAAACATTCATTTTCATCAGCATCATCAAGTTTCTCGGAAAATGAACACAATGATGAATCTATCAATTTATCTATTCCACAAATAATTCGAACAAAATCCGTTACGGAATTAAAAAATCTTGTTTTTGAATTACAAAATGTTGAAGAACAACTTGAAGATAAACTTGATTCACCTAATGAAACAATGAAATTACCAATGTCATCAAAATCATTTAATGAACTTGGTGGTTTAATTAATGAATTAAATAATGTTTCAAAACAACTAAATAATCGTATAAATGAAGAAATTTTTATAGCAACAAATATTGATTCATTATCCGAAGATATTATTAAATATCGTCGTGATTCATTAACAAATTCAAATGATCAGTATTTTCATCAAACTGAACGACAACCATTAAGTCGACCAACATCACCAATATCGAAACAAGATTTTCTTGATATGACATGTATATCTATGAATGATATTGATCAAGTTTGTCATCAATTACAATATGAACAATTTGAACACCAAATTGTAGATAATCTAATTATTGAAATTATTCGTGAAGCAGAAGATATTATTGTTAAAGAGGTAAATAAATTTATTCTTTTTTAAATTCATGAAGGAAGACAAAAACTACCTCTAGAATATAGTCAAGTTAAGTGTGCTCCGAATTTAGAGTTTACGGATGTCTAACTTTTCGCGAAAAACTCTAATCATCTATTTTTAACAATTTGTCGAGAAACTTGAAATTCGTAAACTTCAAAATTGGAGCTCGTTTATCTGGACCAGTAAGATTCAGAACATTGCTATCGAGAAAAGAAAAGAAATTTGTATCGAGTGTCTGCTAAAATAGGATTTTGTGACTATAAGGTCGAACAATGTCTCCAATTGTAGATAACATTTGAGACTATCATCCGTCTAGAGAGTTAGACATATTAAAAATAAGCTTATTGCTCAAATCTTTATTCATAAACGGATGTGCTTGTCATTGAATTTGTTTTATTAATTCAATTTGCCCTATGGATAGATTTATTTATTCTTTTGATTTTAGTTATCGGTTAATATTAAATCTAATCCAATTATGATCGATAATCAACGACGTGCATCATGTCATCGATCAACAACAACAAGTATATCTGATGATCAAGATCTTTCACATGAAGATAATATTGGTGATAAGACATTTGAATTAGCTGCTCAACTTGATTATCTTCGACGTATGTCACGTTATGAAAATTTAGCATATAATCCAGAAGACTTAGAAAAATCTCAAACTACTAGTCAGTACACATTACTACAAACAGATCGTAGTGATGATGATGATGATAATGATGATTTAAAATCAGCAAGTTATTTAACTATGGTTAATGAAGAACAATTATCTTCTGATGAAGATAAACAAAAAGAATTAATTAATAAAATAAAACAACAACAACAAATGAATATAAGTCAAGAATCAATTACTCAACCATCATCTGATTCACTTGATTATCATTCAATTGAAATTAATCAAATACCTGTACGACGAACAACTAGTGAAAGTAGTCTTCATAGTACATCATCATCAATTCATTCATGTGAAACACATTCATTATCAACATCATGTTTAATTGATAAAGATGAACAAGAACAAAACCTATCTGAAATACCATCAAATGATAATGATTTTTTTGATTGTGTTAAATTAGTTGTTAGTAAACCACTTGAAATAATAGATAATTCTAATCAACAACATTTTCAATCAGCACATGATTTACATGATGAAGAAAAAAGTAAACTTGTTCGTAGTCCTGAACTTTATAATATGGATAATGTTATAAAACATGATCAAAAATCTTTATTATCATCAAATACACAATTACAATATCGTACATTATCGGAATCTGCATTACCTCAAGATGATTCCAAACGTCATAGTTTAACAACAAGTAATGATGCATCTATTGAATATTTAACAGCATTATCAAAAGAAAATTCAATTGAATTTAATCAACAACGTCTTTCAACACCTTATGATGATGTTCCAGAAAAAGAATCAAGTCCTGAACAATCTGAATCGTGTAATGTTTCGTCACCGATATTTGCTGATGCAATTGAACCTACAAGTAGTTGTCAACGTCCACTAGCATTTCGTGTACCTGGTCAACAACGTATAATAACAGATGAAGAATATTTTATTGTTGCAAATGATCTTGCAAATCAAGTTTTACATGATGTTCTTACTGAATTAAATGGTGAACAAGATGATTTATCTCAAAGTAATACAAGTGATAAATTATCAATAAGTAGTAGTACATCATCGGATATTGATGATGATGATGATAAACTTATTGAAGTTGATGAAGAAGCTGACGAATATATCGAAACTAAGACATTCAATGATAGAGATAATTATTCAACTACTACACAACAAACTTCAAATCGAACATCATTTTCAAAAGGTTTACGTCGTGCACAAACTGATGCAAAAGATTTTGATATTATACAAAGTCCATATACTTTAAATGCACCATTAATTCGTTGTAATTCCCAGTCAGATACAGAAGTTTATTTTCGTAGTGTATCACCATCAATGAATGATTATCGACAATATGAAAATTCAAGTTCCGATGAAGAAGCATCAAATAAAAAACATAAATTATTAATAAAACCAAAAGAAAAATATTCCGGTGAAGGTGAAGAAAGTAGTGGTGGTGAAGGTAAAGAACGAACACATCCTCGACGAAAACGTTCCAATGATCAAACAAATATTCATGAATCACCACCAAATAAAAATGTTACATTTAAATTAGAAATAAATGATAATAATAATATTAAACGTCAAGATAGTTTAGATTCACCACCACAAGATTTAAATGAAAAATCTATACTTAAAAGTTTACAAGAAGGTATTCTACGTATTAATCTAGAATCAATACATATTGATTTAAAATTAATAAATCAACAGAAAGAACATCTTCATGAAAATATTTATGCATCAATAACAAAAAAACCATTTATACCCTATGATTATGATGCTGGAAGTGAAACTGATCGTGATGATTTAAAAATTATCCATACATATAATGAATCAATAACACAAATAACATTTAATCAATCGACGAATATTAAATATAATACATTATCAATTGATATTGATATAAAAAATCTTTTAGAAGAATTAATTGAATCAATAAATGATGATTTAACAATATCAATATCAAGTGAATCACAATCGGATGCAACAACAGTTATATTTAATTCAAATAAAACATCAATGGATGATGAAGAAAATATTGAACAACAAAATTCGAATTCGGAACAAAATGATAAACAATATTTATCAATACAACCAATAAGTTCATCTTCATCATCATCTGCATCATCTTCAGCTCATTCTGTGATATATTATCAACAACAACAATCACAAATGAAAACTAGTTTACCTTGTATTGTACATACAAAAACTAAAAAACAATTATCAACACCATCGTTTTCTAATATCGAACATTGTACTAAAAAAAAATTCCGTTCATATCCCGGTTCGTTGGGAGGCACCGTCGCTCATATAACTTCTTCTCCTAATACATCTACTCCCGATGATTACTATACGTCAATAACAACAACATCTACTACTTTTCAAAGTGGTAACGAACCACTCTATTTCTCGTTTTTTCCTTCTTGATGTTGTCATAGTTATTGTTAGTTGGCTTCTCATTCGTAAAATGCTTTATTTGTTCATGCATATATATATATGAAGTATTTTTATCAAATACTATAAATTTATTTTTCTATTTTAGGTAATCAACATTTCAATGAGTAATGTTGAAATACAACAGATAAACATTAAACTTCTTTTTTTGTATGTGTATTCTTATTTGTAAAATTTGGGCATTTTCTTTTCTTTCTTTCTTTCTTTCTTTCTATCTTAATGTTTTGTGCGTGTTATATTCAATGAATGTAGAGTATGAACGATTGAAAAAACAAAATTTGACGACAAAATATATGGGCATACGTTTCATGGAAATGTTTTTTTTTAATTTATCGGAATGAGATTTTTTTTTCGTTTTTTTTCCTTTTTCTGTCGTCTAATTTCAATCATTAATTCTACTGCTATTTCTTGTTCAATTTTTCTTTTTTTTTTTCGTGTTTCTGCTTGCTCTGCCTGTTTATTTGCATTATCATCATTTAAAAAAAAAGTCCCAAATATAATAGTCTATGAACAAATTAAAAAATGTGTTTATATGTAATAATAAAAAAAATAAGATTAGCAATAAAAAAATAAAGCAAATCACATAGATAGATTAAAATTGTGATTTGAATTGGACATTATTGAATTATTAATGATCTTTATCGATACTAAATAAGAAAAAAAAAGATGGTGGTTATATTTAGAAATATTGATAGAATGCTACTGGGTACTAATTCGGATAGATCAATGATTTATTGAATCCCCTTTGGCTATAGATTCTTTTTTTCTGGATGAATAAATATTTCTATCAAGTTGTGCACTGAATCATAAACTAACAGATCTTTATAATTTTATCATATATTGGTCAAGAATGAAAAATATCATGTTAGAAATCTCAATGAACTATCACGTGATAGAATAATCGAAAATTCTTACATATTCAGAAGGGATTAGCATAGAATTTATCCACAATCTGCTTATGTTCTAGGGAAGATTTATATATAATAGATGATATATTCGATGTCTGCATGAAAGTATCATTTTTCTTAGAAATACATGTCTATTTAGCATTAAATAATTGTTAATAAACTCACTTGTAAAGGATAAGTATAAAGATTTCTGAGGTTAGGCGTTAATGGTGTATTCGCTTGTTCATCACCGTCTTGTGAATTAACTAATCGATAATATAATTCAGCGTTTTCATACTAAAAATAGAAATCTTTTCTAGAATAATAAAATTTTTTCGAATTTCGTCGTACCGATGGACGTAGACTAATTACAGCAAGACTTTCACTGATATTAAATGATGGTAGTTTTAAAGGTACCTTCCATCGACCACTTGCTAATCGATTCTTATCATCAAATAATGCTAGTTTTGCTAATGCACTAGTTTGCAATTGTTCTCTTGGTGCTTGTTTATCTGTTGATGTTTGTACTTCAATAATCACAGTCAATGCTTGATGTGGTGGACATCTTCAATCGAAATAATATATATAGAAAATAATTACTCATATGTTTCATTAGTAACAAACCTTAATACAGGTTGTTTGGTAGCAATTAATGCTATACGCATATTTTCACCGGTTCGTTCGTCAACAAATTGATTACATTTGACTGGTTCTAATAATGATGGTTCACCAAGTCCAGATTTTGGATGATGAAGAGATGTTACAAGACGACATTGTTGAACTGTCGAAGGCATATTAATGATAAAATCAAAAAATATAATAAAACCACCAGTTGGATCATAACTTTGAGGAGCTAAAGTATCATGTAATCTATACATATTTGAATCTAAAAGATTTATAGCTGGACTTTGACGAGGTGTTAGACGTTTATCAGAATAAGGTAATGATGTTTGATGATATATTCGACGTTGATCATTATGATTATCGCGAACTGGTAATTCAGATTGTGAATAAAATGCAGATTTCGGTTGATATTTTTGATCCGTTTTATTTTCATAGGGTAATGAATAAGATTTTGAATAAACATCCATTTGTGATTGATAAGGACGTTGATTATTATTAATATTCGTCGTACTATTTGAGCCCATTGTTAATTCTAATTGTCTTGTCCCTTAAAATAACAACAATAATTCTATTCACTAAGATAAAATAAAAAAATTACGTTTATCAAGTGCACTGAATTTTCTATACATATCATGTAATTCATTTTTTAATCGTGAATTTTCTTCATTAGCTATTTGGAATTCTTTACTTTCAGTACTCAGATGATCAGTAGATTGATCTAGAAATAAATAATTTAATAAAATATTTAAAAAGAAATGAATACAAACATCGAGCTTGTCGTAATGGTTCAGGTTGTCCTTTCAACCATGGATTACCTTCGTCTGAACGTAATTTATGTTCAAGTTCACCATAGCGTGAAAGAACTCTTGCATCATGACCACCAGAATATAAGTAGCCTTGTCGAAAATTTCTAAAAAAATGATATGTCTTAATACAGGATGATTAAAAATGTTCATTTTTTTAATTATATAAATGTTATTTCGATAATCTTATTTTACTAAATCTTCAAGCTGTAATTATAGCTAATTTTAGAGATTCATATCATAAGTATAGTTTAATTAAAGATAAAGATGAATATCTGTACATAAGCGACAGTCGCTGAGAAAAAAAAACATCAGATTGTACAATATAAGAAGGTAATAACATAATGAGTTGATATGAGATAATGATAGTAAATGTTATATATGTATGTAATTATCTATTTTAGATTTGTCTTCTCTAAACTTTCGAATTATTTTTGTGTTACATAAAATTTACAAGTTTTTACAAATACGTCAAAGAAATGTACTTGTAAAAAAATAAATGATCGAAACGAACTTTTTATAGACTAAAATAATCCTTTCAATTTTTTACAATAGAGTAAACATTAACTTCTTTTATTCAGTTCAAGATGAAATAGAACAATACTGATTTCATTAAAGAAAAACTAATAAAAAGAAATCCTATTAGCAAGTTTTTTTTTCGAACTAATAGGCTTCCGTTGATCAAGTATCTAAACGAAATGTTAATCATCTCAAATTTTTATTGTAATTGTGAAAAGTTAAATCTATAATGCTGCTTTTTAAAAAAAATACCTGATATAATCACTATCCGTTGGTCGAGATCGAGTTGAACCAGTATTAATATATGGTAAAAATGGAACTTCGTTTATATTTGATGCTGAACTATATAATCGAAAAGACGCAGAAAATATTTATCTATCATATAATGAATTTAATTATTACCCTTTCGAAGCCGCGAAACGTCCTCGTAAAAATTCTAAAGCTTTTTCATTAAGTTGTTGTTGTTCTTTCATTTCACGTAAAAATTTATATGGATCATAATTTGACATAATTGATGATTGATTATTAGTAGCTATTAACTCTTCAAGTTTTTTTTGAATAACTACATATAGAATAGAATATTCGTATTTGTCTCATCAAAATAATAATCAATAAATATTTACTTCGACGTTCTCTTTCAAGACGATGATTTCGTCGTTGTAATTCTTCAAATTGATATATTGGATTATCAATCGAATCGTTCGTCTGTTTGCCTTTAGTATTAAAATCATTTATTGATGATTGTTTGGTTTGTAAAATATATAAATGACGTAAAAGATCTTGTTCTTTTACTCGTAATCGCTCGTACTTTAAAAAAATAAAAAACAAATATTCGAATAACAAGAATATTATATATCAAAGTAAAGAAAAAGATGATATCTTTTTTTTCATTGAGTTATTCGTTAAGAGGTAAAACAAATCAATATTTAATGAGAGAATATTCTTTTTATTTGTCGTTAGATCGTGATTTGTTTTTAGTGTAATTGAATATGACTTACTTCATGAAAAATTTCATTATAAATATTATCTTGTTGTTTAATATAATTGGCTATTTTTTGTGTTTTTAATCGATCATGTAGTATTCTATTTTCCATATCTTCGACTCTTTGAAGGATTGCACGTTGTCGTTTCCATTCATCAATTTCTTCTCGTTTCTATAGAAAAAAAAAACAAATTGATAAAAATATTAATGAAATAAAGTGTTCTATTATTAATATTCAAGAAAAATCTTACTTTTTCAACAGATGATTTATGTTGCAAAACGCTTGTTCCTGCTGATTGTATTGTATAATTCTTATTTGTGGTAATGTCAGTTCCTTCATCATCTGAATAAATAAATTTTCGTCCAATTCCTGAATCTTTAACGCCAATACAAAATCTTGTCTTATGTTTAAATAAAGCTTCATCAGTCGGAAATTTCATTCCACATTGATCACATTTAAAGTATTGTTGTATTGGCATATCAGTTCAATAGTTTATAAATTATATAACTATGACAATGAAAATTTAGATATAACTATTGTCTTTGTCAAACGTAATATTTATATAAAGTTTCATAATCATTTAGATTAAACAATAAATTTCAATTGATTAATTAAAAACAAGATTTTATCTACTAAGATTTTTATCTAAGATATAAAAAGAATTATATGTTTTGCAACTATGTAATATATATTATTATTTCTATTGAATAATACTTAAAGTTTTCATATCCTTCGTCTTTTTGTGCTAATAAAATATATAAGTACTCTTGTATTCTTTTCTTTATCACTAAATTTTTAATAAAAATAATATTAACTGCATCTATTTACTTTGACTGTCGTATATAGTATTGAACTGAAGTATGTTATAGATGTTGATGTTATGGTAATACCACTTCTTAAACAATCATTCGTTGGAGTGTATGACTCTCGTCTTTTTTCAAAAATAATAAATTTTAATTCTTTCTTTTTTTTTGTTACTTTTTCTTTCTTTTTGCTTTAGTTACAATAATAAGACACATCGGAAATGAGTTCACCATATAAAGAAAAAGAACCATACCGTCTTTCATGATGAATAAAAAAAATATAAGAAAGAAAAATATCATCTGGCAGGAAAAAAATGTTCTTTTAATGATATTTGCATTTATTAATTTCAAACAAACATGAAAGAAAGAAATAATAAGAACAGAATCTCATCGATCTTTTAAGTGTTCATATTTTACGTACAATTTATATTCAGGGTGATTATATTTAATACTATATCTATAAATCCTTTGTCAAAATTGACCTGATTTGATCTAGAACAATAAAAAGGATTCAGATACGTGTAATTCATGAGTATGTATAGTAAGAACATAACTACTCATAATGCATTTAGAAATTTTTAATGAAAATATCGTAGCTATGTGATCGTTATAAAGAAAGATGAAAACAAGTTTAATAACAATATCGAAACCATAGAAAAAATTTTATTATGTAAACTTCATATGATTGAAAAAATTATTTTGTGTCCTGAATGAATATAGGTTATCATTTTTTTCTTGAATTATAAAATGGCTTCAAAAATAGAAAAATAAGTTAATATATGTATGTAATTTTCTATTGAAGATCTTTTATCATAATTTATAATATGTTAAAAGTTTAACTTTGAATGAACATTAATATTTGCCTTTGAGAACAAAATTGCTTTATTGATTGGAAATATAAATATTGACAAAAAACAATTTTTTATGCATCATGATTTTTTCATTAGTTACAACAAATATTCAATTTTGTACTCACCATTAATTTATTGTATTTGATTTTAATTCAATCAGTTTTCTGTATTATTTCTGAATGAAAGAACATCAAAATGAGAAATAATTTCTTTTTTAAAATTTTATTCAAAAATACTTTCAGTTTTTCGTTAACTGTTTTATGTCAAAATAGAGAATATAGAAACTACTTCAAAAATAATGAGATCGTATTAATCAAAGAGTGATATGCAAGGAAAGATATCATGATATATATCAATTGTATGTAATTCAAAAACACTCATCGATCAATAAAATAATACACTCTTACCATCTATTATCAACTGTAGTAAATTTGTTAAAACAAAAAAAGCATCTACGTTTTCTCTTATATTTTCGTGTTAATTATTTCAAAATACGAAAAAAAAAACAAAGTTCATCGTTATGAGCGCTTCTTATAGAGAAAGTAACAATGAATAATATAAGTTTGATATCGATATTTTCATCTCATATTTCAACTACTATTACTATGTGACTTTTTATTCTCGAGATCATTATGATATAAAACTGACAAAACCTATGTATACGTCAAGAAAGTAAAGAATGACAACATAAATAATGTCCTGCTCATCATATTAATGAATGTTCAGTAAGCGGAAATTCAGTACGAAAACAAAACAAGAATATACCAATCATCTCGAGAATATAGGCGTAGGTGTTATATTCATCACTCATCCATGTCTACACCCATTTTTTTACTCACACCCACACCATATTCACACCTTTAATTCAACTATATACTGAACATTCCACGTGCATACTATTATTGTACTAAAAATTTATCAAACCTTCTTTTTCATTTTATTTTAACATTAATATTTATTCGAATCAACAATGACACAATTCAATAAATTGTTCTTATAGATTTATTCATCATATTAATTGAAATAATCGATAAATACTTTCAATATCAGATGTACTTCTTCAAAATATAAATCAAGTACTTTGCCTGAAAGCATTTCAATACAAAGAAACAATTTCACATTGTCACGAAACTACTACTAGACAAGTAAGTGGTAATGATTTTCGATCTCTATGCCCACTCAAAAATATTGTACATGTCGTATCGCTATTGATTGATTTGAAGTAAATATTCCCACTGTGTCTGCAGGATTTCTACAAGAACTGAGATTGTTACATCAAAATTTCTCTGATTTTTTTTTATTAAATAGTATTAAAAATAAAAATATATAAAAAATTTGTATAAAATTATAATTCAAAGTAATTAGACACGGGGTGTTCGATTTATTGGTAAAGTACGATAACGTGTATGCTCCAGACGTTGTCGATTTAATGATTCTAGTAAATTACGTTCTACAACTGATTTTCTTGCTGGATTTTGTAAAATTAATTCTAATGAATTAGGTATTTCTGTTGTAAATTCAACATCATTCATATTAATAATACCTTTTAGTTGCCTTTCATAAGCTGGTAATAAATGAGGATTCGTTTTCATTGATTTATCATGTATAATTAAATTAATTTCTGTTAATTCAGTTTCAGTATTTGTTAAAACTCCGGTTAGATTAGATTGTGTTGCCGAACGTTTAAATAATGGAAGAAATGTTGGAGGAACTTTTGATGATGGTTTATGTTGTGTACGTTGACGACGAATGGCTTCCATTGTATTTGCGTTTCGATAATAATATGGAAGAAAACCTCGTCGTCGAGATGCATTATCGATCAAAACTGAATGAGTTATAACCTCATTAGTATGATCAGTGTCAATTGAATTTATCACACCATTTGCTGTTTGCCTAATTCCTGGCATTGTTCGTTGATGTGACAATGGTCGACATATAATAGCATTTCGTATATTCTTGAAAGAAAAGAAGTCAATAGATAGTGATTTGAAGAAGAAAAAAACTAAGAATCTATTATATTACTCCTTTGATTAAAGTATTGTCAATAGCTGCTGAATGTGCCGAACGAAGCTTAGTGGTGTTGTGCATATTCTTGTTTTTTTGTATTGTTTGTAAAAGGCTTTCGGGTGTTCGTTTGATCAGCTTGTTTTATCCGCATTCGTTTTGTATTATTGAAAATAAGAAAAGAAGAGAAAGTAAGTACACAATTTAAACATGCATATAAGTAGCACTCTTTTCGATTTTGTTTATGTTGGAACACGTTGCACTAATGGCGACATTTCGTGTATTAACACAATGCATCATGATTACAGGTATTAAAATAAGAGACATAATGAGAAAAGGAGAGCTTCTTTTCTCTCATGCACATATCTGTTATTGACCATTCAGAATTACTCCTGTTGCTTTAATTGAAAAGGAACGTGTCGTTATTTTCACGTCTTCTTCTTCTTCTTCTTCTTCTTGTTCTTCTTCTTCTCATCAATTGTACAAGAAGAGTAACAACGATAATTATATACTTGTGTCTGTGTGTGTATGTGCGTCGAGACATTTGAAAGTGAACAAGAAAAGGAAAAAAAGCATGTATATCTAATGTAGTTAATTCATATACATCGACTAATGAACATTCATTCAGTAGTACACATTGTATTCATTTTGAGTGATTGTTTTAGTCATTTCTCTTCATTTTCAGACACTACCAGTAAGCATATTTTTATTCAATTTATCAATTTCAACAAGCAACAACAAAAACAGAAATATTATCAATTTTATGCTTTTTGATTGAAAGTGTTAGAATCAATATCAAATTACAATCGGACAGTCAAACAATAAAACAATAACGATATAAATCATTTTCTATACATATTGAAAATTTCAATAGTAAGTTGAAGCAAAAAAAAACATAAGAATGACTTTTTTTAATTAACTTTCTTTTTTCTCCTTTCATAGATCAATGTTTGGTGTCAAATAATAACAACAAGATAGACAGAGGTGTGCATTAATAAAAAACAGTCAAACGTGCAATGAACCGTATATGAGTACTTCTTTCTTTCTTTATAAATAAATGAAATATTTGACTATAGTGAGTTGAATGAAAAAATCTTATGATGTAACTAGTCATTAAGATCACTCACGCACTCTTTCTCATGGAATAATAGCCTTTAGTATCTTTTATTCTCACATATACACATACGTATACATACATACATACACACACACACCTCTATACAAAGGACAATCATACCTGGTCCATTGAACTTTTTTTCTTTTTTATTGTTACTATTCGACGGTCACTGCCTTTTCGTTTATTATAAGAGAATAAAAGAAAACGTAGAAAGAATCGGTCAACTGGAATTACTATCATATTTGCATCAACTGGTTTTTATCGTTTGTCTAGTAACATCAATGAACAACACACATATACATCATCATCTATGGCCATATGCTGTTCATGGCAGTATAACATTAATTGTTGAAAATACAACAACGGAAGATTTTGAAAAAAATATTTATCGAACTTTACGTCAGAGTATTGCAAAAATTATACGAAAATTTTGTTCAATTTATCGTCATACTTGTTTAAGCAATGATACAGATGCTGTTAGGTATATGAAAATATATATAATTTCTCTTTTTCCTTTTTTTAAAATATTTAATATATTGACACATTTCTTTTTTTTTTCAATTGTGTTAATAGAGCAGACCATGTCATTATTCAAAGTTACGAAGAACAGTTAGACGATCGACGTTTGTATGTCGCTGTATTTATCAAAGATCCTTATCGTCAAGACATTGCTTTAACTAATGATCAATTTTTACTTGCACTTAAACGTCATCGACAACAACTTTATCAAGATATTAAACATCATGTATGATTGACTAAATTGTACATGAGAAGAAGAAAAAAATATAACCTATTGATTATTTTTCTAGATTAATCTTCCAACGACATTTTTTGAACAAACTTCATTAGATCCTATATGGTTATATGGTGTTTGTCTACTTGCTTTACTCGTTCTTGTTGTTGTTATTCTTATGTTAATCACTATTTTATCTAAACGAACAATTAAAACAAATAATATTGATGAAACTATACAATTAAATAAATCTAACCAACAAACAAGATCGGAAAATAATCGGTATATTAATCATCTTCGTCTTTATTTCTATGATAAATTATCTTCTTTTAGATTATTAATCTCACCTCCTATAAGATTAGCTATGGAAGAAGATGAAACAAATTCTTCATCCTATTATAATGAAACAGATATTTCTCAGACATCAACCTCAACTGTTGCAGCTAATTTACCATCATCATCATGT